TTTAGTTAACGTATTATAACATGCAGTTAGTTACCTGATAAGAGGGAGGAGGAGAGTATCCGTAGGGAGGCTGTGACGGAGCGGCCAGAGAGGCAGCTGCCAGACCCAACACGATGCTCAACTGGAACGACAAAAATACATTGAAATGGATAGACTCAGTCAGCCTATATTACGATAAAAGATATATCTATTTAACGATATTTTTTTTTTAGATGGCTGTGGATAAAGTGTTTGCTTTCTATCAATATTCAAGTAGGTTATCCGAATATCTTTTTCTAACCGTAAGAAACATTTTGCTGATTTTGCCAGATATAATGAAAAATACTATATTTCTGTGTCTTATATACTTCGAGAAACGTAGGCGTGGCTTCACTTGACCTTGAGAGATACCAGACAGAAGTGCCACGCCCACTTTGCCGCTAGATCATAATATGAATGGAAACGTTACGAATCGCCAAACAGATGGATTGAAGAGGAAATGTCCAAAATATCAATGTCAGTTCCAGGATGTTTCAAAGAAATTTTAACAGTTAAGTTAAGAGGCTCTTTTCATTTTTTTTAGAAGTAAACTGCAGTATTTTTATATTGATACTATAAGCACAACATTTGAAAACACTGAGAATCTTGGCCATTTCCCGCAGGTGACTCCCCCCACCACACATTTAAAATCCAGGCTAACATGTGAAATTAAAAAGTGATCATGGCATTAACACCATTTTAAGATATACATTCCCACAGTGCACCTTTCACGGATAAGGATTTAATTCTTGTTGAATCATATCTTGAGTTAGAGATATGTTACTTTTATGTGTCTATAGGTTGTCTAGCGAAGAAAAGCAGCTGATTATGTGTAATGATATAAATATATGCATATATGAATGATTTATATAACAATCCTCCCTGACCTGGCCTTGAACCTAGGTCACCTATCTACTCATATATGAGTAATAATAGCGAGGTTTTCCACACTCCCCGTGGGCACGCGGTGGAAATTGATTTAGAAATACGAAACCGAAGTTCGATATACTGAGGTGTATATATATGAAAGAAATGTGATGTGATGTGACCAGAGTCTGGATATGACCTGCGTTGCACTGGTGGATGAGATCAAGTTGCGTTTGAGGGGGTTAAACTCAAGCTCAGCTAGTCTTGCAAATAGTCGTGTTTGACTGCGTTTTGAGACATCAAATGTACATATAAGTCATTGATAAGCAAGGATATCCTAGCGATTATATTTCCTCTGTTAGTCACTTCTAAGCTCTAAAATATATATATATATATATATATTTTTCTTTCTTTAATCACCATTGTTAACGAATGAATACTTAGTGATGAGATCTCGGCCTGTAAGAAGGTGTTGGCCTGTAGGCAAGTGTAGAATGGTAGGAAGGGGTGGTGTGGTATGAAGGTGTAGGTTGGTATGCAGGTGTAGGATGGTAAGAGGGCTGGTGGGTTTGGTAGTGAGCCTGTCCCTCGTAGGTGACCTCGGCCACGTAGCCTGAGTCGCCGTCTACGTGGTAGGTGACCTTCTGCAGGCAACCGTCGGGAAGCTGCACGTAGTTGGATCCCCTTTAAGGAATTTCTGATCTAAAAATAAGCTGTTTTATGTAAAGTAATTCTATTGGCATCCCACCTATTATGCCTTTTCTGATCTCAAAAAGAGCCGGAGGTAGCTTGGCTAAAGTAAAACATTCTCGTTAAAGCATCCTACCCAAGCTCAGGATTTGTTGCAAGATAAATGCAATCAGGCATAACTTAAGATTTTGGCTCGGCATGCAAAAAAATAACATACGTGTGTGGGCGTGCATATGTATGTTCATGTACAAAGGATGATCATACTGTTCCTTTGACTCAAACCTTCCGAGGGTTAGGCTGCATAATGTAAAACGATCAGATTAATCTGTTTCTATACGAACATTCCTTGTTTTTTCCTTTTTTCCTTCTTGTTAAACTTCTCTTTCTACAGAGATTCTGTACCTGCCATGTCCAATCACGAAGAGCTTGACATGTAACTGTTCACGACTTTCATTATTTCTTTGCTATATCTTCTAAAACATCACGTAGGCTGAGTACGCACACTTATGCAGACACGTGTATATGTATATTTATATGAATGAGGAAAACACTCTACCGTGTTGATACTATGGTAGAAAACCCACAATGTAAAAACTAGATTTAGATATAGTTTTTACATTGTGGGTTTTTCTACCGTATATTTATATATAAACATTCTGATCTTTTCTTTTTTCTAACTGCATACTACGTATAGGTTTGTTTTCAATAAAAGTGATATGTTGGCATATTCATTTAATGGTAGCAATTAAGTATTAATATATATCCATTTAATTGTGTGAAGGTACAAAATATATATGTATAAATACTTTACAAATGTGTTTTAGTTTGTTTCGAGTTTATCTGCTTAGTGATGAGGTCTCGGCCTGTATGAAGGTGTAGGATGGTATGAAGGAGTGGTGTGGTATGAAGGGGTAGGCTGGTATGCAGGTGTAGGGTGGTAGGAAGGTGTAGGATGGTAGGAAGGTTGGTGGGCTTGGTAGTGAGCCTGTCCCTCGTAGCTGACCTCGGCCACGTAGCCTGAGTCGCCGTCCACGTGGTAGGTGACCTTCTGCAGGCGACCGTCGGGAAGCTGCACGTAGTAGGATCCCTGTGTGTTGTATCCATCGCGGGACTCCTGGTGGCCGTAGTCGTTGGTGGAGTAGTCGTCCTTCACGACCCAGTCGAAGTTGTAATGAGCTGGAGACTAATATATAAAGACAAGGTACAGTAAATTCAGTACGAAAATAGTTAAAATATCTTTACATCAGCAATAACACTAATTAAACGGTATAAAAGTAGTTACTCTCAGATTTTCTATACAATATAAACTATATATTAAGAGCAGTAAAGAAAATGATGTTTGAAATACAGATTATTATTATGTGATTCAATTTAATTAGTTACCTGGTAAGAGGGAGGGGGAGAGTATCCGTAGGCAGGCTGTGACGGATCGGCCAGAGAGATAGCTGCCAGACTCAACACGACGCTCAACTGGAACACCAAATAAAAATGATAATAAAAATAGTAATAATGATAAAATTAATAGAATCAGTCAACTAATGTTCCGATAAAAAAGCCAAGATAGACCTGTGGAAAGCGGTTAGTTTATATCACGAGGAAATTCCATTAGGTTGTAAGAACAGTTTTTCTAACCGTAAGAATCATATTGCTGTTTTTGCTTGATAGAATGAAAAGCACTCTGCTCCTGAACCTTTTATACGTCGAGAAACGTAGGCGTGGCTTCACTTGACCTTGAGAGATGACAGAAATGCCACGCCCACTTTGCCACTCACTAGACCCTCGTCATATGAATGGAAACGCTACGAATCACCAGACACACAGTATGGAGAGCAAACATCCAAAATACCAGTGTCAGTTCCAGGATTTTTAGCAGTTTTAGCATTATTAGAAGCAAACTCCAGTACTTTCATATCGATTGTGTAAACATGACAGTTGAAAGCACTTAAAGTCTTACCCATTTTCTGTAGGTGACCCCCCAACACCTCAAATCCAGTATGCCCATTATATCGTACCTTTCAACCTGATATCATTTCATATATACACATATAAGTTCATGCATGTATACATATATGTATATATTTACATATATATTATAATCATTATCACTATTATTATCATTATTATCATTATTATGTGGCGACCCTCTGAACTTGAGCTTGTGACCTAGTACTGGGTCGCGCCCTGTACTTTGAAGAACTAGGTGGCTCTTCGGCACAAATTTTCTCCAAAAATAAACTCAATTTTTTAAGATACGTAGCAAACAACCTTGATTCCTTCCATCATAGTTCTTCCGTATTTGGTGAGCGAGGTGATGTGACCAGAGTTTGGATGTGACCTGCGTTGCATATGTTGAGCGTAAAACTGATCAAGTTAAACTCAAGCCCTGCTGGTCTTGCAAATAATCGTGTACAACTGCAGTTTGTGACATCAGATGTACACAAATCTGTGACAAGCAAGTATATCTTAGCGACTGTATTCTCATTATGTTAGTCTCGTATTCACTTCCAAACTTTGATAGCCTTTTTGAAAGCAGTGTTATTAAAAGCAAAATAAATAAATAAAGAAGTCCTAATTGACACCCTCCACATCATTTAAAATCCAGGCTAACATGTGAAACAAAAAGTGCGATCGTGGCATTAACACCATTTTAATATATACGTTCCCACAGTGCACCTTTTACGGACAAGTATTTAATTCTTGAAAAGCACAAACTGTTGAATCATATATTGATGAAGCGTCTTAATGGTTAGAGATATGTTACTTTAATGTATTTACAGGTCGTCTAATGAAGAATCACAGCTGATTATGTGCAATGATATAAAGATCTGCTTTATATGCATATATAAATAGTTATATCATAAGTATATATCATGTTTTTGTCTCATACATTCTAAGTGACTTTTTGGTACAATCTGCCTTCAGAAATGGACTCTTAAACCTTACAAAAGATACGTGACAAGCAGTCTTGATTCTTTCCAAGTTATGTTTGAGGCAGTTAAACTCAAGCTCGGCTGGTCTTGCAAATTGTCGTGTTTGACTATGTTTTGAAACATCAAATATACATAAAAGTCTTTGACAAACAAGGAAATCCTAGCGACAATATTTCCGCTGTTAGACACTTCTAAACTTTAAAATGTTTTTTTGAGATCAGCATTGTTCATAAATAAATAAATCCTACAGTTTTCAATTGGCATACCACCTATTGTGCCTTTTCTGATCTCACCAGTATTTCAAGACAGGGCCGGTGGTGGCTTGGCTAAAGTAAAACATTCTCGTCATAGCATCCTGCCCAAGCTCAAGATTTGGTGCAAGATAAATGCAATCAAGCATAATTTAAGATTTTGGATTGGCAAAAATATAGCATGTATGTGTGTGTGTGCGCATATGTATATCCATGTACAAAGGAGGATCATACTGTTCCATCAACTCAAACCTTCCTAGGGTTAGGCTGCATAATGTAAAACGACCAGATTAATTTATTTCTTTACGAACATTCCTTACTTTTTCTCTTTTTTTCTTGTTATTCTCCTCTTTCTGTAGAGATTCCGTACCCGCCATGCTGGACATGTAACTGTTCATGACTTTCTTTGATATATCTTCTAAAACACCATGTAGACTGAGTACGCACACTCATGTAGACGCGCATATGTGTATATATATTCCGATCTTTTTTATTACTGAATACTACATATACTACATATAGGATTTCAGTGAAAGTGGTGTGGTGATATATATTCATTTAATGGTAGTCATTAAGTATTGATGTATATCCATTTAATTGTATGCAGGTACAAAATATATATGTATAAATACTTTACATATGTGTTTGAATTTGTTTTGAGTTTACCTGCTTAGTGATGAGATCTCGGCCTGTAGGCAGGTGTTGGCCTGTAGGCAGGTGTAGGATGGTATGAAGGAGTGGTGTGGTATGAAGGGGTTGGCTGGTATGCAGGTGTAGGGTGGTAGGAAGGTTGGTGGGCTTGGTATTGAGCATGTCCCTCGTAGGTGACCTCAGCCACGTAGCCTGAGTCGCCGTCCACGTAGTAGGTGACCTTCTGCAGGCGACCGTCGGGAAGCTGCACGTAGTAGGATCCCTGTGTGTTGTATCCGTCGCGGGACTCCTGGTGGCCGTAGTCGTTGGCGGAGTAGTCGTCCTTCACGACCCAGTCGAAGTTGTACTGAGCTGGAGACTAATATGTAAAGATAAGTTACAATAAATTCAGTACGGAAATAATAAAAAATCTTTACATAGGTTATAATACTAGTTAAATGGTATAAAAGTCGTTACTCTCTTAGATTTTCTACACAGTACAAGTTATGTATTAAGAACAGTAAAGAAAATGATGCTTGAAATATAGATTATTATCATGTGATTCAATTTAATTGGTTACCTGGTAAGAGGGAGGGGGAGAGTATCCGTAGGCAGGCTGTGATGGAGCGGCCAGAGAGGCAGCTGCCAGACCCAACACGACGCTCAACTGGAACACCAAATAAAAATAATAATAAAAATAGTAATAATGATACAATTAATAGAATCAGTCAACTAGTGTTGCGATAAAAAAAAATCCAAGATAGAGGCTGTGGAAAGCGGTTAGTTTATATCAAGAGGAAATTCCATTAGGTTGTAAGAACAGTTTTTCTAACCGTAAGAATCATATTGCTGTTTTTGCTTGATAGAATGAAAAGCACTCTGCTCCTGAACCTTTTATACGTCGAGAAACGTAGGCGTGGCTTCACTCGACCTTGAGAGACGACAGAAATGCCACGCCCACTTTGCCACTCACTAGACCCTCGTCATATGAATGGAAACGCTACGAATAACTAGACACACAGTATGGAGAGCAAACATCCAAAATACCAGTGTCAGTTCCAGGATTTTTAGCAGTTTTAGCATTATTAGAAGCAAACTCCAGTACTATCATATCGATTGGGTAAACATGATAGTTGAAAGCAATGGAAGTCTTACCCATTTTCTGTAGGTGCCCCCAACCACACCTCAAATCCAGTATGCCCATTCTATCGTACCTTTCAACCTGATATTAGTTCATATATAGGTTCATACATATATATGTGTATATATACACATATATATTATAATTATCGTAATTATTGTTTTTATCATTATGTGGCAACCCACTGAACTTGAGCTTGTAACCTAGTACTGGGTCGCACCTTGTACTTTGAAGAACCCTGTACTAGGTGACTCTTCAGCACAATTTTCCTCCCAAAATAAACTCACTTTTTTAAGATACATGATAAACAACCTTCATTCCTTCCACCATAGTTCTTCCGTATTTTTAAAACTGGTGAGTGAGGTGATGTGACCAGAGTTTGGATGTGACCTGCGTTGCACATGTTGAGCGTAAAACTGATCAAGTTAAACTCAAGCCCTGTTGGTCTTGCAAATAATCGTGTACAACTGCAGTTTGTGACATCAGATGTACACAAATCTGTGACAAGCAAGTATATCTTAGCGACTGTATTCTCATTATGTTAGTCTCGTATTCACTTCCAAACTTTGATAGCCTTTTTGAAAGCAGTGTTATTAAAAGCAAAATAAATAAATAAAGAAGTCCTAATTGACACCCCCCACATCATTTAAAATCCAGGCTAACATGTGAAACAAAAAGTGCGATCGTGGCATTAACACCATTTTAATGTATATGTTCCCAAAGTGCACCTTTTACGGACAGGTATTTAATTCTTGAAAAGCACAAACTGTTGAATCATATCTTGATGAAGCGTCTTAATGGTTAGAGATATGTTACTTTAATGTATTTACAGGTCGTCCAATGAAGAATCACAGCTGATTATGTGCAATGATATAAAGATCTGCTTTATATGCATAAATAAATAGTTATATCATAAGTATATATCATGTTTTTGTCTCATGCATTCTAAGTGACTTTTTGGTACAATCTGCCTTCAAAAATGGACTCTTAAACCTTACAAAAGATACATGACAAGCAGTCTTGATTCTTTCCAAGTTATGTTTGAGGCAGTTAAACTCAAGCTCGGCTGGTCTTGCAAATAGTCGTGTTTGACTATGTTTTGAAACGTCAAATATACATAAGAGTCTTTGACAAACAAGGAAATCCTAGCGACTATATTTCCGCTGTTAGTCACTTCTAAGCTCTAAAATAGTTTTTTGAAATGAGCATTGTTAATAGATAAATAAATCCTACAGTTTTCTATTGGCATACCACCTATTGTGCCTTTTCTGATCTCACCGGTATTTCAAGACAGGACCGGTGGTGGCTTGGCTAAAGTAAAACATTCTTGTTATAGCATCATGTCCAAGCTCAGGATTTAGTGCAAGATAAATGCAATCAAGCATAATTTAAGATTTTGGATCGGCAAAAATATAGCATGTATGTGTGTGTGTGTGCATATGTATATCCATGTACAAAGGATGATCATACTGTCCCATCAACTCAAACCTTCCCTTGGTTAGGATGCATAATGTAAAACGACCAGATTAATCCATTTCTATACGAACATTCCTTACTTTTTCTCTTTTTTTCTTGTTATTCTCCTCTTTCTGTAGAGATTCCGTACCCGCCATGCTGGACATGTAACTGCTCATGACTTTCTTTGATATATCTTCTAAAATATCATGTAGATTGAGTACGCACACTCATGTAGACGCGCATATGTATATATATATATTCCGATCTTTTTTATTACTGAATACTACATATACTACATATAGGATTTCAGTGAAAGTGGTGTGGTGATATATATTCATTTAATGGTAGTAATTAAGTATTGATGTATATCAATTTAATTGTATGAAGGTACAAAATATATATGTATAAATACTTTACATATGTGTTTGAATTTGTTTTGAGTTTACCTGCTTAGTGATGAGGTCTCGGCCTGTAGGCAGGTGTTGGCCTGTAGGCAGGTG